AGAATCTCTCGTAATTCAACTGTATTGTATTACAACATTGTGAATTATATTATAGTTTGGTTTTATCAAAAGTTCAAGGTTAAGCAAGGACTTTATGTGCTTGGAATATGTACAAACTACATGAAGTAAATCTCGTAATACAAGCTCTCGTGACAATGTTCGTTTATCGGGATGTTTCTAGACGGAAGAGGTGATCAGTGAAATAAGGTTGTTCTAATCACCAGGCTGTGAAGAGGTGATCAGTGAAATAAGGTGGTTCTAACCACCAGGCTGTGAAGAGGTTATTAGTGAAATAAGGTGGTTCTAATCACCAGGCTGTGAAGAGGTTATTAGTGAAATAAGGTGGTTCTAATCACCAGGCTGTGAAGAGGTTATTAGTGAAATAAGGTGGTTCTAATCACCAGGCTGTGAAGAGGTGATCAGTGAAATAAGGTGGTTCTAGTCACCAAGCTGTGAAGAGGTTATTAGTGAGATAAGGTGGTTCTAATCACCAGGCTGTGAAGAGGTTATTAGTGAAATAAGGTGGTTCTAATCACCAGGCTGTGAAGAGGTGATCAGTGAAATAAGGTGGTTCTAACCACCAGGCTGTGAAGAGGTTATTAGTGAGATAAGGTGGTTCTAATCACCAGGTTGTGTAAATAGGAAAATTTGTGAAATGGTTGGTTTGAACTGTATAGAGAGAGGATGGTGGTACTTTACAACTTTTTCGGGGAAACCAAACATTTCTGGAGATGCTGAAACGGGTTATCACTTTACACTTACCCCTATAAATGAGCAGATCTAACAGCCTGGTGATTAGAACCACCTTATTTCACTAATAACCTCTTCACAGCCTGGTGAATAGAACCACCTTATTTCACTGCTAACCTCTTTACAGCCTGGTGAATAAAACCACCTTATTTCACTAATAACCTCTTTACAGCCTGGTGAATAAAACCACCTTATTTCACTAACAACCTCTTCACAGCCTGGTGGTTAGAACCACCTTATTTCACTAACAACCTCTTTACAGCCTGGTGGTTAGAACCACCTTATTTCACTAACAACCTCTTTACAGCTGGTGGTTAGAACCACCTTATTTCACCACTTCTCTGCTGACCAAAACAACTCTGTCCAACAACCTGTATACATTCACATTGAGTACAAATTCTTGTAAATCACGTGTTGAAAACTTTAACTTCTAAGTACTAGAAAATAAATAGATTATTTAAAGATCTACAAAAGTCGTACAACAAATACACATATAAGGTACAAAAATAGAATAGAAAAACAAGCATTCTCATAAACTGATGTTCACTTTATGGAATAGAATCGCTTGCTCGTTTTTCTCAGTGTTATAAGCTTCTTCTTTGTGTGAACCTAAAGATTTCTACCACTTAAACTTGACAATTTTCTTTCCTTGCCATCAATAAATTGAACATTTGTAGAAAGGCTTACCTCTCATTGGCCTGGTTGACGTTCCAAGCCCTGGCATGACCTCACGTCTGTCTTCTAGTTCTGTTAGACTCGGAATGCTGGGCATTTTCTTACCCAGCGTGTCGAACGTTCCACGAGTGGCGTCTTCTCCGGGTAAAGCGGCCAATCGTATCAGCTGAGGAGGGGAGGGGGATCGCTTCTTGAGGAGTCGCATCACAGTCGGTACGCGTGTTAGAACGCCCCCTTTAGTTCGAAGGACCAACAACTGGACTAAGATGCAGAAAACGTTGTCTTCGTCAGTCACCTACTGTCCTGTTTCATCTTCATAATTATTATAGTGTACACCATCAACAGATGAAATGTCCCGTTACAGTCTTGAAATACTGCAGAAAATATAAAACAAACTTAAACTAACAATGGGGAACGATTATTTACAATATCTACAGAAAATAAAAACAAAATAGAGTAAGTGTCGGAAAACGAAGAAACTTAAACAATCGCTAGAATATTAATGTTTGAATAATTACGTTATAATAACTGCACACGGCTATTATATACACGATGGTCAGCGTACTCTGGCTGTGAATCCGAGGGTTCACGATTCGTTCCCCGTTGTCTCAAAAACACGCTCTTTACTTTACAGCCGTGGCTGCGTACTCTGGCTGTGAATCCGAGGGTTCACGGTTCGTTCCCCGTTGTCACAAAAACACGCTCTTTACTTTAGAGCCGTGGCTGCGTACTCTGGCTGTGAATCCGAGGGTTCACGGTTCGTTCCCCGTTGTCACAAAAATACGCTCTTTACTTTAGAGCCGTGGCTGCATACTCTGGCTGTGAATCCGAGGGTTCACGGTTCGTTCCCCGTTGTCACAAAAACACGCTCTTTAATTTAGAGCCGTGGCTGCGCTATAAGAGTGACAGTCAAATCCTATTGGTCGGTCAGACAAGAGTAACAGTTGATTATGTACCTTCCGTCTTTTCTATCGGCTACGCGGAGATAACCCTCAAACGGGTTAATGTTAGATAAACTAATCCATAGTTAGTTCATATCAAACTGACTTGTGAAATCTGCGCAAGCGCACTCGACAAAGTACGTTGTTCCTACAACCGCTCTGTTTGATTCCAAGCCAAAGTTAACGAATGATGAAACATTTCATATATTTATCAATAAGATAATATATAAATATAATATTGTGGTTTTAAGAAAACAGTATATGAAATGATTTATTTAAGGAGCACCTTCGAAGTCTTATTAATGTACCACCTGTCTAAGTTAATAGTGCTCATGAAACCAATGTCTACAAGTCAAATTCCGTATTTTCCTGTTGTTTACGTTAATAACAGGTGGCTGGGTGTAGTAAAACACTGTTGTTTATACTGTACGCTGACTACTTTGGAAGCAAGAACAAACTAATGATCCACAAATGTGACGGGAGTCGTGTCTCTGACGCTCACCCATCAACCGATCAGACTCTGATTCCAAAATTTGCTTGGAGCTCACGTGTTTAAAGTGATAAAAAACACGTGATTTTTTCTCATTAGTAGTCAGTTTTCATCTATAAATAAAAGTTAAAACTGATTATTTCAGTAGAAATTAATGGCATTGATAAAAAAGATAAAAAAGTCGGGTTCTAAAGATTTTATATAACAGTGGCATTACTCCTGAAGGTCTTCCTAAACAGTGGCATTACTCCTGAATGTTTTCCTAAACGGTGGCATTACTCCTGAAGGTCTTCCTAAACAGTGGCATTACTCCTGAAGGTCTTCCTAAACAGTGGCATTACTCCTGAAGGTCTTCCTAAACAGTGGCATTACCCCTGAAGGTTTCCTAAACAGTGGCATTACTCCTAAAGGTTTCCATAAACAGTGGCATTACTCCTGAAGGTCTTCCTAAACAGTGGCATTACCCCTGAAGGTTTCCTAAACAGTGGCATTACTCCTGAAGGTTTCCTAAACAGTGGCATTACTCCTAAAGGTTTCCATAAACGGTGGCATTACTCCTGAAGGTCTTCCTAAACAGTGGCATTACCCCTGAAGGTTTCCTAAACAGTGGCATTACTCCTGAAGGTTTCCTAAACAGTGGCATTACTCCTAAAGGTTTCCATAAACAGTGGCGTTACTCCTGAAGGTCTCCCTAAACAATGGCATTACTCCTGAAGGTCTTCCTAAACAGTGGCATTACTCCTGAAGGTTTCCCTAAACGGTGGCATTACTCCTTATAATATATATGTTTAGATATCAACGGTTTATGAACACATTACATTTGCCTTTACAGAGCTAAAGAGCAGTTTCAGCCTTCGAGTAACAACAGTGTATAGTGTGCTTAACACTACTTCTATCAACCAGCAGGTGCCTTTTACTCTAAGACAGAAGAGTCACTTAAGATATAGTACCTATAACAAATTCAGTACAACTGTTATATAACCTGAAGGATTCAGTACAACTATTATATAACCTGAAGGATTCAGTACAACTATTATATAACCTAATGGATTCAGCACATCTGTTATAAAACCTGAAGGATTCACTAAAACTGTTATAAAACCCGATGAATTCAGCACAGCTCTGACAAATTTAGCATAGCTCTTATACAACCCATGCACTGGATCCAGAATAACTATTGTCTATCGTGACGGATCCACCTTAACACAGATATAACCTGATGGATCCAGTATAGCTTTTACATAACCAGGTTATTTATATGCAGCATTTCTGTATTCCAATTTATAAAATTTTATAACCTAATGGATTCAGTACAACTATTATATAACCTAATGGATTCAGTACAACTATTATATAACCTAATGGTATAATAGTTGTACTGAATCCATTAGGTTATATAATAGTTGTACTGAATCCTCCAGGTTATATAACAGTTGTACTGAATCCATTAGGTTATATAACAGTTGTACTGAATCCATTAGGTTATATAATAGTTGTACTGAATCCTTCAGGTTATATAACAGTTGTACTGAATCCATTAGGTTATATAATAGTTGTACTGAATCCTCCAGGTTATATAACAGTTGTACTGAATCCATTAGGTTATATAATAGTTGTACTGAATCCTTCAGGTTATATAACAGTTGTACTGAATCCATTAGGTTATATAATAGTTGTACTG